AGACGTGGAAGCAGGTTGCAGCTGCATTCCCCGGAGATGCTGCTCGTCTGCGGGAGAGGAGAGTCACTGACCTCCCTCGCTTGACAAGGAGGATGTCACGTAGGATGACCGGGATCCTTGGCTGCCTCCTTGTGCCTTTGAAGATGCCGGGGACTCTTTCATCTCAGGTTCGGGGAGAGGGAAGTGGCATCCTTCTCGGTAGGACTTTTATGAGGGGGATCTCTTTCTTTCTTTCTCTTTCTCTTTCGCTCTTTGTGTCTCACTCTCAGTTTCTGTCTCCTTTTCGCTTCTCTTCTCTTTCTTTCCCTCTCTCTCTCTATCTCTCTCTATCTCTATCTCTCTCTCATTCTCCCTCTCCCTCTCCCTCTACCTCTCCCTCTCCCCTCCCTCCTTCCCTCCCTCCCCCTCCCCCCTCCCTCTCTCTCTCTCTTCCCCTCTATTTCCCTTTCGTTCCTCCCTCTCGATTTCTTTCCCTCTCCACTTCAGACAATAACATCAAAGGTGGCAAGATCTCCGTCGAGGCGAGAAATCTGTTGCCTCGAACCGTCTCGACTCTGCCTTTTTCTCTGATGATAACGTTCTTGTTGCATTTCATCATCCATGTATGAATTTGTCTGTGTGTGGTTGACATTCACACTTTGTTTCTCTTTCTCTCTCGCTTCCTGTGTCTCATTCTCTGTGTCTGTCCCTCTCTTCGCTTCTCTTCTCTCCCTCTATCTGTCTCTCTGTCTCTGTCCTCTCTCTCGTCACTCTACTCTACTCTCACTCTCACTCTCACTCTCACTCTCTCTCTCTCACTCTCTCTCTCTCTCTCTCTCTCTCTCTTCTCTCTCTCTCACTCTCTCTCTCTCTCTCTCTCTCTCTCTCTCTCTCTCTCTCTCTCTCTCTCTCTCTCTCTCTCTCTCTCTCTCCGCTCCTCCCTCCCTCTCCCTCCCTCCCTCCCTCCCTCCTCCCTCTCCACACACACACACACACTCTCTCTCTCTCTTCCTCTCTCTCTCTCTCTCCTCTCTCTCCTCTCTCTCTCCTCTTTCTCTTTCTACCTCTCTCTCTCTGTAGTGTTCGTTCGTTTGTCCCTGTTAGCAAAGCCTTCTTTCTTCTATTCTCTCCTTTTGTCTCCCATTTTCCCTTGACGTCTACCTAGTTACTTGCTTATACTTATCGTATCTCTCTTGATTGTCTGTCTATTTGTGTCTATCTGTTTGTATCTGCATTTTTGTCCATCTTATTTATATATCTTTTTATCTCTCTATATGTCTGTCTGCATATTTCTGTACCTAATTACCTGCCATCTGGCCACCCATCACCACCCACCCATTCACCCGTCCACCCACCCACACCCATTCACGCCACACACACCCACCACCGTCCCACCCATTCACCACCCATACCCATCCATCATCCACACACCCACTTATTCACCCGTCCTCACCCATTCACCCGTCCCGACCGCCACACCCGCGTCCACCACCCACCCACCACCACACCACCACCATTCACCCGTCCACCCCACCCACCCATTCACCCGTCCACCCACCCACCCATTCACCCGTCACCCGTCCACCACACCCGTCCACCCACCCACCCATTCACCCGTCCCACATTCATCCACCCCACACCCACCATCCATCCCACCATGCACACACCCACTTATTCACCGTTCCACCCACCCACCCATTCACCCGTCCACCCACCCACCATTCACCCGTCACCCACCACCCATTCACCCGTCCACCCCACACCACCCATCCATCCCACCATCCACACACCCACCTATTCACCGTCACCGTCCACCCACCCACCCATTCACCGTCCACCCACACATCCATTCACCCGTCCACCCACACACCCACCGTCCACACACCCATTCACCCGTCCCCACCACCCATTCACCCGTCCACCCACACACCATTCACCCGTCCACCCACACACCCATTCACCCGTCCACCCACACACCCATTCACCCGTCCACCCACACACACACACCCATTCACCCGTCACCCGTCCACCCACACACACACCCATTCACCCGCCACCCACACACACACACCCATTCACCCGTCCACCCACACACACACACCATTCACCCGTCCACCCACACAACCACACCCATTCACCCGTCCACCCACACACACACACCCATTCACCCGTCCACCCACACACACACACCATTCACCCGTCCACCCACACACCCAATCATTCACCCGTCCACCCACACACCCAATCATTCACCCGTCCACCCACACACGTTCACCCGTCCACACACACCCATCATTCACCCGTCCACCCACACACCCACCCATCCATCCCACCATCCACACACCCACCTATTCACCCTTCACCTCACCCGTCACCCGTCATTCACCGTCCACCACACACCCATTCACCCGTCCACCCACACCCATTCATTCACCCGTCCACCCACACACCCATTCACCCGTCCACCCACACACCCATTCACCCGTCCACCCACACCACCATTCACCCGTCCACCCACACACCCATTCACCCGTCCACCCATCCAAACCATCCCATCCCACATCCATCCATCCATCCATCCATCCATCCCTCCACCCACCATCCATCCCTCCATCCACCCACCCACCCATCCATCCCACCACCCATCATCCCTCCATCCATCCATCCATCCATCCATCCACCCACCCATTCATTCATTCACCCATCCATCCTCCCTCCCTCCATCCGTCCATCCATCCATCCATCCATCCATCCATCCATCCATCCATCCATCATCCATCCATCCATCCATCCATCCATCCATCCACCCACCCACACACCTCCCATCCAACCATCCATCCTTCCATCCACCCACCCCCCACCCATCCACCCACCCATCCACCCATCCCCCTCTCTCCCTCTCTCCCTCCACCCACCCACCCACCCACCCACCCTATCTATCCGCCGCCCTCGAGTTTGTCATCGCCACCAGTTCCATAGCGCTGTGATTATTTTTGCTCTTGTCATTATTTTTATTATCGTTATATTTTTCAACGACCGTAACATACTATTATCGTTATTATTGCCCGTTACTAACGTAGCTGCTGCTACTACGACTACTGCTGCCGCTGCTGCTGCTTCTACTACTATTACTACTACTACTGCTTCTGCTACTACTTATAGTACTTCTTCTTCTACTATTACAACTACTACTACTACGAATTCTACTACTACTTCTACTACTACTTATAGTACTTCTTCTACTACTGCTATTACTACTACTACTACTACTACCACCACACCACCACCACCACCACCACCACACCACCACTACTACTACTACTACTACTAATGATTATGATGATGATGATGAGAATAATAAAAGTAATAGTAATGTTAATAATGTTGATGTTGATGATGATGATAAATATTAATAATAATAATATAATAATAATAATAATAATAATAATAATAATAATAATAATAATAATAATAAAATTATACGAATAACCATCTTTATCGTCTTATAATCATCATCATTGCCCCATCTCTGTCTCCTTCCCCTCTCTCCCCCGTCAAAAAATAAATAGGAGCGGAACCTTCATCAGCTGGAACTCAGACCTTGAAATGTGTTGATTATAGCGCGAAGCGAAGGACGCTAAACTCCGTGAACTGTATGCTAACCGAAGCTCTTGTCTCTCTTTCTCATTTCTCGACAGTAATTTACTCTCTCTCTCTCTCTCTCTCTCTCCCTCCCTCCCTCCCTCCCTCCCCTCTCTCCCTCTCCCCTTTTCCTGATTTTCGTAGTCGGTTGATCTACTTGAAAGGATGATGCGTAGATCCTGTTCTGAAGACGTTTGAAGTTCATGCGCGGAAGAGAAATAAGCGAATTCCAGTGTAAACTAGACCTTTAAAGTTACTGTAGATGACACATCAACAGTTAGGCCAGTATATTAGATATTTCCAGTCTTCACTGTATCTGCGGTGGTACATGTATATTTGTGCATGCGTGTGTCATGATGTGTAAGGTATTTAGTTCTTGTTGAAGTACATATATTGATAGTTATGGGAAATTTAAGGAAATATATGGAAGTCGACTGAAGACACTGAATCATTTTGTTTTCGTTGCGTCTGTTGTAATATATTGTCATTATTTATGCGGTTATATGTCAGGGTTATTATAATGATTATCAATATTTCTGTTATTATTGATATTATTTCTGTAAGATAATAATAATAATAATAATAATAATAATAATAATAGTAATGATAACAACTACAATAATAATAATTATTATTATTAATATATTATTGTTATTATTATTATTATTATTATTATTATTATTATTATTATCATTATTATCATTGTTTTTACTATCATTATGATCATTATCATGATCATTATTATTATCCATTATAGTTAATATTATTGTTATTGGTGTTAAAGTCATTATCATTATAATTATTGCAGTGATTAGCATTTTCACTATAATTATGATTATTGTAATTGTTGTTGTTATTATCAATATGATCAACAGTGTAATTTTAATTTATTAATTGCATTTGCTGCTTTTGTTATCATCATTTTTACAATTATTTTGCGGCAACGGAAGTGTTTCTTATCATTATGACTGTTATATTATCACTATACTAGGTCTGCTATTGCTAAATAGAATTCTTATTACCATATATAAGATGTTAGATGTTAGGAAATCGGCACCTGTGTCATTCACAGTTATTACTGTATGTTCTGTCACATAGTGAGCGATTTTTAAAAATGTGTTTGTAATGGAAAACTACATTTAAATAGCCAAAGCAAATCCAGAATGTATATTGATTCGCACACCTCCCTTCTCATCACACACATACATTCACAGACACATTTTGGCATCCGCGTTTCCTCATTTCAATTCTTTCATTGCATCAAAATGGCAGGACCTTTGTGTTTTTATTTTAGTCTCTCTGCCTACTTGTAACTTCACTCCATTTTCTGTGATCAGTTTCAGCGGTAACTCAACCATTTTTCTCCTCTTCCTTCTTAGGCCCTGGTTCAGTCCGCTCTCGACGGGTACAATGTCACCATCATGGCCTATGGGCAAACCGGCTCCGGGAAGACCTACACCATGTTGGGCACGCCTGAGGAACCCGGCATCGCGCCCAGAGCATTCACGAGGCTCTTCCAACTCCTGGACGAAGGGCGCGCCCGGCAGGAGGCAGCCGTGTCGACGTATATGTTGGAGTTGTACAACGATAAGCTGATCGATCTTCTCAAGCCGGCGGTCGGAGCGGATGTGAGTTTTTACTCATTCTTTTTTGTTGTTGTTTTTTTTTGTTTCTTTATACAGGTTTCGTATGTTTTCAATACCTGGAGGAGTTTTTTTTTCGTAATTTGGGGCAGTCAGTGTTGTACCAAAGTAATAATGCTTGTAGATATGTTTTACATCCACATTTCTTTATTTACACCAGAATAGTGTCTCCTTCGACTAAAACCCACCCCACTAACCCCCTCCCCCTCCCAGACTGACCGCCTGGACATCAAACGCGACAAGAAGGGCGCCGTGCACGTGCAGGGGGCCGCCGTCCGCAGCGTGTCCTCCGCGAGCGAGCTGAACAGGGCCTTCAACGAGGGACTGGCCAACCGACACACCGCGGCCACCAAGATGAACGTGGAGAGCTCGAGGTCGCACCTGCTCATCGCCGTGTGTCTGAGCATCACCTCCAAGCAGACAGGCTCCGTGCTGCGGGGAAAGGTGGGGGTGGGCGTGTTTCGTAGGGGAAGGGTTGAGGAAGGTGTGGGCGTTTTGTTCTGGTTCGTGGGAAGGGCGGGTTGTTATTTCTGTGGTGTTTTTTGTTCGTTCTTCTGTTATGGGTAATATCGTTACACATTTCATTTGTTATTATTTATTCTTAAGCAAATGAGATATGCGTTGAGCCTTTACTTTTTCATAAGAATAAATGATAATAAATAACCCCCCCCCCTCCCCAGCTGACCTTGGTTGACCTGGCCGGAAGCGAGCGGGTCAGCAAGAGCGGCGCGTCGTCGGATCAGCTGAAAGAA